TTCTATCTCTGTAAATTAAAATACGCCTATTTAAAAAATTATACACCCTTCATTTCTTTGTAAGTGGGCAGATTTACACAATCTACAGGAGTTCAAATAATTATTTTCCCCACTGTACATGCTTAATTTTTTTTTTTTTCATGTAGCTGGTGGGTTGAACGAAAAAAGACGAGCTGATTGCCCTCTCTGCACAATCTGCTGTGCTATTGTATTCTGAGAGTCAGGGACTCCTCCGCTTGCAGAATACACCGATCAACCCATTGCTTGCAGCAGCTGATCGAATTAACATTTTCCAACAGTCCTGTTAAACAGAAGTCAATCTACACACAGAAGCAGCTGAACCTGCTGACTTTTGATTTGTGTGTACCCAGCTTTCATTTGTTATGATATATGAATGTCAATACTTACTATGGCAGGTTGGCGTGATTATCAAATAGTCTGGGTCTACATTGTTTTCTAACTCTACTGCAATCTTCATTATATCAACATTTCCAAAGTCTTTTCAAATGCATTATGTATCCCTGAGTATTTTAATGCCAACACCAAAAATGTAATATAATGCAGCTTATAATGCAACATTAGATGTGGTGGCTGCATTAGTTTTCTATTTTAGTCTTTTTTTTTATCTCTGTTTTCACCTGGTGATCCAGCCAATAACACAATTTTTGCATTAGAGTGCTTACATTTTGAGTGAAGAAGCAGCACACATTTTGAGACAGCAGCCTTGTTAACCTGGATGTAGGGGGAGTATTAAATCTGATTTAGATGGGCTCTAGTCAAATTCCTGCTAACGCTTAATAGGCAGTTACAGCAAACATTTTTTTCCCTGTCATTGGTGAAAGGTTTGTCTCAAATCTCTAATTGCTACATCTGCAGGACAGCTTGCTTTTGTTGAAAAACAACAGAATTATTGGCTGAATCACCAGGTGAAAATAAAAAAAGAAAGCCTTAAAAATAGAAAACTAATACAACCACCACATTTTTGACTTGGTAAACTGCAATATAATAAATGTTTGCTTTGGGTTTAATACGCTTTAACTGCTGACTGCCAGTAGTAGGGCATTTAATTCTTCAGCAGGTCAAGTTCAGGATTTAGAAGAAAAGTTCATCAGAGATAACTGCAGCCAATGAGGTTGAGAGCTCTTCTTTGATGTTTTACACTGGAATGTAATGATATCTGGTACAAGGCTGCTATTAGTAAATGAATTAGCAAAGATTAAAGCTAACATTTCCTGACAATCTTGCCACTGTTTCTGCTCTGGCCGTTGAATTTTACTATTCATGCTTACGCCTTTCCATGCTGCCTTTAGATTTGCCTAAAACTGAATTCCAGCCATGCGTTCAGTCTGCACTTTTCTCCTCTAAAGAAACTGCTTACTTTGTGTGCATTAGAAGATGCAACAATCATAAAGTTCCTGGCTGGAAAACATGCTGCATCATCTAATTCTTTCCTCCCAAGCCTTACTGTCCCTAGGCCATCCCTTTCATTCACTGGAATTTGGTTCTTTCAATCATATAGGCTCATGTGGGTACCTAAGCAAATGCAGTTGGTTTAGGAATGCTCACTCCTCCAGGCTGAGATCTTGATAACAATTGATGACAATTGAATTTAGACAATTAGATAGTTGAAACAGCTAACAATGAACTATCGGGTAGAGAAGTATAGACCAGACAACAAGGTTCTCCAGAGATGCAGTTCAGACTGTGAACAGGCGGCCAGGTATTAATGCACACAGGGTCCACATTGCCACAGTTGCACATCTGGGATTGTCAAGCCTAGGCTGTATATGGTGCAGTTATAAAAAAAAGGATTTGGCAGGTCTATACTCAACAAAGGAAAAGAGGAAGGCACCCTGAGTCATTGAAGTATATACACTATGTATCAAGAAGGGGAAGTTTGTGTTCGAAGCTAAATCTTCTGCCGGCAAACATTGGGGCCCTTTAACAGTTGAAGGATAGTGAACATTGATGAAGATAAATATGATCTGTGTTCAGTCTGCTTACAGTGAAAAAGAGGTAATAAGATCTCCTTAGATAAAATGGGAGTGAAGGTGTCTACTAACAGTGTCCATGTGGGAGGAATAGAGCAGAAATGAGAGAGATAAAGATGTCTGCTAGTAGTGTCCATATGTACGGAACAATATTGGCTGAGGATAAAACTCCGATGAAGAAGGGGGGGAGTAAGGAGCAGGTTTGGAAGTAGCGATAGGATGACGTGAAGAATGCCTAATGGTTGCAGTATAGATGACGATTGGCATGGATGTCTATGGATCTCAGACCGCTGAAAAAGACTGTGCCACTGGGTATATGGCACTAGAAAGTTCAGTGTCACTGAACTGTTAGCCGCCTGCACAGGACCATCACTGGGGTGCTGGATGTAGATATGCTGTATTGCTGACTCTTCCCAGAGCGGCTGGCGGGGATACAGCACCCGACTGAACTCTCTGGCATCCCCAAGGAAAAAACTCTGAGCATGCCAATTACAGTCACATGTATAAACTCTCCCAGAATTCCCCATCGCTCTGACTCCCATAGAATTTGTAGTCTCTGGCAAACATGATGTATGGAAAGGATTAGAACCCCTGACAATTTTTTATTTCTGTCTGTGTCCCTGCTGGGGAGAATAAAACTGGCCATGAGTTGATGTTTTTTTTTTTTCTTTCATTCAGACTGGATATACAGTGCTGATGGACGAATCTCTTGCTGTGCCTATTGTATTTGACAAAATGTCAAAATAGCTGAACAGCGCTTACATGTAATTGGATGCAGACACTTTTCAGCCAACAATTTTCTGCCCAGTGACTTCTATTTTTCAATTGAGAATGTCTGGCAGGAGGGGGACAACAGAGCCACCCACTGGGTGAAATTTGTAGGGTCCTTTCACATGGGCATCCTCTGTTCAGTCACGTTTTTTTCAAAGAAAAAACATATTTACTTTAGTTTTCAGTTCTGTTTACGTCAGTTTACATCGGTTTTTTCATCCATTTTCAAATTATTTTTTTTTTTTTACATCCAACAGCTGGAGTCCATAACCACTTGAGTCTCAGAGCCATTTTTTTTATGTTTTTACATGTTTTGTTTATGTAGCGCCCTCCTAGTAAGTTAGGGGGAGCTAGAATCCTGATTGTTAGAGAGAAGGGCTGATTAGTAGCCTGGGTGTAATAGTCAGGAGTCCAATTGCAGTCAGTAGCTGAGAGACTCTGCAGGCCAAATCCTCTAAAATTTCTCCCTGCTCTAGAGCTCGGAAGGTTTAGAGGCAGGGTGGGTCTGAGGAGATGCTGGCTTGTACTCTTGAGGGATCCTGGCCAACGCCTAACAGGAGGCTTGGCAAGGGACCAGGACAACCTTAAAAGTAAGAGAGCCTGCTCAGCAGCAGGAGAGTTGTAGGGGAGAAGTGGAAGAGATAGAAAGATGTGAGGTTAAATGCAGGAGCCTATGAGGGGGAAAAGATGGAGAGGATCTCACCTGCAGATGGAGGACCTTGGAAGGTGGAAAACGTGGAGTTTGCCAGCCCCCTGAGAGAAGACCAACTGTGTGGCAGGGAAGGATCGGCCCAGCTAGAAGGCCTAGTAGCAGCCACCGACCCACCGGCAGCATAAGAGAGATGCCAAGTGAGTAAACTGCACCCCTTGGGCCAGTAAGGGGAAATGAGCTCTCTAGTGGGAAACTGGATTAGTTTTTTTTTAACTGGGACTGTTCACACTGCAGTGACAGGCACCGGATCCCCTGCCCAGGGATTCATCCAGTACAGATGGATGAGGATAGGAGTCATCTGGGCTCTACAGGAGACGCTGGCTAGTTCTCTAGAAGAGAAACTTTGCTGTTGAGACTTGCAGATATCTGCTAAGTTTGTCCTCAGTTGCCATTTCCCTTCGGCATCCCATACATCCACTATCCCCTTACCCCATCCAAATTCTACATCCCCTAATAAAACTTCAAAACAAGCTCCAGGACTGGTTTCTGTCTCCTAATGCAAGTATGAATGAGGAAATGTGTGATGCCGGGCTGTGAAGGACTATAGGGGGACCCAAATACTCAGCAACTCCTAAGGGGTAGTCTACATTTACATGATTAAACAATAATTTAGGCCTGAAGATTACTTAAAACCCCTAAACATTATATATTTTCTAAAAGCAGACACCATAGAGAATAAAATTCTAGTAGTTCCAGTTTTATTGTCACATGATATTAGTCCAACGGTTTATGAAACACACAATTTCAGTTACACTAAAGTTAACCTTAGGGCACAAAAAAACAATAAATTACCCAATTTTTAGGTTAAATATAAAAGATGAACTTTCACCAAGTAAATAGATAGCCAACATGCCAAGCATTAAAATTTTTTCCATAGGTGATGCTTCAAAAGCCCCTACAGGTGATCAGTTTAGAGTTACCCAGGAGCTCTGGAAATTCTGTAGTGCAATTGCTGTTTTTCTATGTAGACACCCCAATGCATGCTTTTTTGTACGTATGCATGTGTATGTTGGGGTGGGGGGAGGCTTTTTTTCTTTTTTATGTGTCTCTTTAAAAGCTTTTTGTTACTTTATTGCTATCACATAGAGGACCAATAGCCCCCTATGCTGTAGAATGTAGGTGACAGGTCCTCTTTATGACAAGGGGGTAGTGTGTACAATGAGAGAGGCAGGAGAGCAGCAATGTTCACAGTGAGGTGGAAGTGTGTACAAACAGGCTCTCTCACTTGCTCGCTCTGAATATTATTGCTGCTCTGAATACAATTGCCTGCTCCCTTGTTTACTTTAACAAAGAAGAAGCTGCCATTCGGCCTGCCTCTAAAGTAAACAAAGGGGCAAGGATCATCGGTGATGTCACTGGGTGACCCCACCCCTTTCTCTTCTTTAACCAGTTCCGCGCCGCACTATCGCAGAAATATGTACAAAATCACATATCAAATATATATATATATATATATATATATATATATATATATATACGTGATTTTGCAGTTCCGGGTAGGGGGCGCCAACATTCGTGGCCTAGGCTGTCAATCACCGGTGCCGGCCTGTGATTACTCGCCGACACCTGGTGATCGCCAAGTATCTCCGACGGGGGTATCTCCGAGGGGGAGACCTGTATGTAAACAATACAGATCTCTCCCCTGTCAGCTCCTGCACAATGCTTTGTATGGCAAAGCCATACAAAGCAGTGTGCTTACAGTGAAGCACACAGCCCCATAGTGAAACAGCACACAGTTAACCCTTTGATCTCCCCAGATGTTAACCCCTTCATGCCCAGTGCCATTAGTACAGTGTCAGTGCTTTTTATTAGCACTGATCACTGTATTGGTGTTACTTGGGATGTCAGTGACACCAAGTCAGTTCTCCCCAGTGTCAGAATGCCCGCCGCAGTCCTGCAGTCCCGCTATAAGTTGCCGATTGCTGCCATTACTAGTAAGAAAAAAAATTCCAGTAGCTATACCGCCATTTGTAAACACTATAACTTTCACATAAACCAATTAATTAATATGTATTGGGATTTTTTTTTTAGCAAAGACATGTAGCAGAATACATTTTGGCCAAAATGTATGACAAAATTAGAATTTTTTTACTGGACATGTTTAATAGCAAAACATTATTTTATTGTTTTTTTCTCAAAATTGACAGTCTTTTTAAAAAAAATAAAAACCGCACAGGCGATCAAATACCACCGAAAGAAATCTCTATTTGTGGGGAAAAAAAGGATGTAAATTTCATTTGGGTGCAGCATTGCATGACAACGCAATTGTCAGCTAAAGTAACGTACCGCCATTTCGCAAAAAATGGCCTCGTCAGGAAGGGGAGTAAATCCTGTGGAGGGCAAGTTGTTAAAGGTAGCGCCAAATAACGGCTCCTTCTCTGGTATGTAAGTAAACAAAGCCAGCAATTGCATTCAGAGTCAGCAATGCCAATCACAGCAGGCAACTGAGGGAACCTGTATGTACACACTACCCCCCCCCCCCTCCCACTGCAAACACTGCTCCTCTCTTTGAACACACTCCCCCCCCCCCCAAACTTGTCTGTTGTACTCACTGAATCCCCCCAACCCCCAGCTGAATTCAGTCTGGCATCTTTAAACTATTTTTTGTTTACATTCTGCTGTCAGTGGGGGATTCTGCAGAAGTTTGCTGACTCCTTTTTTATATGTTACTTTTTTATATATTAAAAAAATCTGAAGAATATATTTAAAAAAAAATATTTTTAAAAATATATATTTTTTTAACTATATTCTTCAGATTTTTTATTACATATAAAAAAAGTCATTTTAACATATCTTTTTACATATATTTGTAAATGCATTCCAAAAATTTAGATTTGTATTTTTAAAGACATACAGTATATTTTAAATGTATTTTTAAAAATATTTTTCATATATTTTGTAATAAAAACGCATTTCAACATGCAGTTTATAAATATATATATATATATATATATATTTATTTATTGAAATATATTTTGAAATATACTGAATGTGGCCAAAATTGTAGCATTTCAAATATATGTCAATATATTTAGGAAGAATATTTTTAAAATATATTTCAAATATATTTTTCTTCCATGTGGGTTAGTAAATCAGCTTCTTTGAATCAGTAAGTGGAAACATTATTTATGCTTATTTATCATCAGAGATGAATAGAATGTTGGTTGTTGAAAGCCAACCAAAATGATTACTATTCCTCTATAGTCAGCGGATAATATAGTTTGTGCTCCATGCAAAGGGTGTGCCCACAAATCTATACTGTGCAATAATCGCTCCCTGCCAGGGTTATAACTTCATGCAAAGCAGTAGCAGTCTGTGTCAACCGGAAGCAGGAAATTCATCTGACAGGTGCTGAGGAGACACAGCAGGTGAACTACACAACTTCTTATGTATTATACAGAATAATGCACTGCTTATACCAGATAGCACTTAGATCTAAGACTTTTGTCCTTTTTTTTGCATTTTTATATAATATATGATATATAAATTATTTATATACATGAAAATATTTAAATAAAAAATAGCGGCGCTTAGTGCAGACACAATGAAAAAAATGAAGTACAGCAACAAATAAATACAATGCTGATGAAATAAATAAAATAAAACCAACAAATGCACTCACAGAATAATATGATATCCCAAACATCTGCATAAAAAAGTGCATTGTGCTCTGTAAATAATCCACAAACAATTTGAATTGTAAAACAGGAAGTCCACAAAAAAGTCCCAAAAGTAATATTTTCAACTGTGAAACTCGAGTCACGAAAAAGCCTCTACCAGCCTCAGTATTCCAAACACCACCACCATCATCATCAGAGAGTTCTCTGGCAACCCTCTGACAATGTTCTTTGGAACGATGCGTATAAAGGTGGAGCCAAGCGGTGAAGTCATCACACCTACGGGGGTGGGTGGGTTTGTCTTTCTGCGAGTATTAGGGTATTGTCTGATCCTGTCTGTACATAGATGTTTTTTAATAAAATAATGGACATACTACACTAAGCGGTATGGGAAAAAATTTAATGGGAAAAAATGTCGAAAAGTATAGTTTTTAAAGGGGTCGTCATTTTTCAATGCCTAAAAAAAAAAAAAAGACAAATTCCTTTAAATATCATACCTGGGGGTTTCCTTTAACCACTTGACGCCCAGCCTATGGCCAAATGGCATCTGCAAAAGTGCATTACCTTTCCGGGAGGACGCCAGAGGCACGATCTGTCACCGGCCGTGTACCTCGGACACGGCCGATGACAGATCTGAGTACCGGTCCCCGTTGCCGGTACCATGTGACCTGCTGTGACCAATCACAGCAGGTCACATGACAGTTGTATACAATGGATGGCTTCATTCATGCCATCCATTGTATACTACTGCCTAGCTGTGAATGGTCACAGCTAATCACATGCACATGTCATGTGATTAGCTGTGGCCAAATCACAGCTAAGCACAAAAAAAAAAAAAAAAAAACCCTAAATGAATCGATGTCATTCAGGTAAATGCTTGCTTATAGCAAAGTAATTCTTTGCTATAAGCAAATGGGGAAAAAAAAAATACTGATCACTTCCCCAAAGTAGTACAATGTTACTATGGTAACATTGTACTACTTTGGACATAGTGAAATATGACAAAAAAATCTTAAAAAAACAAAACAAATTTTAAATAAAAAAATAAATTAAAAAAAAAATATATTTTTTTTTTTTTTCACACTGTCACCTGTCAGTGTCCCTGATCACTGCCATGCCAGTTATATGATGACGCTGTACTGCACTGGTGACAGTATGTAAAAAAAAAATAGTGAAAATATTTTTTTTTTATTTTTTCATTTTCCGAAAAATTATGACAAAAAATATACGACTTAAAAAAACTCGCCATTCCTCTTATGAAGTACGTCGGACTGTCTACTTTGCAAAAAGTGGTAATTTGGGGGATATCTGTACTATTCTGACATTCTTGGACCTCAAGAAATTAGATTGGCTGTCAGTACTTCAGGATTGATCAATATTCAGATATATACCATAGGCTGGGAACTCTATAACTTTCCTACAAACTAAAAAATACATCCTAATTTGGTTACTTTCACCAAAGAAATGTAGCAGAATACATCTTGGCCTAAATTTATGAAGAACAATTATTTATTTGCAAACTTTTATAACAGAAACAAAGAAAAATGTGTTTTTTTTTCAAAATTTTTGTTCTTTTAGCAAAAAATAAAAACCTCAGCGATGATTAAATACCACCAAAAGAAAGCTCTAGTTGTGTGAAGAAAATGATAAAATTTTAGTTTGGGTACAATGTTGTATGACCGCGCAATTGTCATTCAAAGTGTGAGAGCGCTGAAACGTGAAAAATGGCCTGGGGAGGAAGGTGTTAAATTGCACGGTATTGAATTGGTTAACTATCTGCAAAGTTGCACATCTGTACAATGTATAGAACCTGCTGCAGCAGGACTGACATTTTTATTTAAAAAAAAGGTAGGAAGATTAGGAGGCTTTAAAAAAAGGGCATGGGGGTTCCCCCTAAATGCCATATCAGGCCTGGCAGGGCAGGAAGGGGGGGGGCGTGCAAGAGCCCCCACCCTCCCTGTGGCTAACCAGACCATGTGCCCTTGGCATGAGGGCAAGGGTCTCTTCCCCAAAACCCTGGCCCTGCGGTTGTGGGGGTCTGTGGGCAGGGGAGCTCAGATGCTGTCCCCCCTTGTGAATGAGTTCATGGACTGACTAATTGTTGTTTAGTCCCATGGTTGCACAAATGCATGTGCATGCTCTGATCATCATTCCAACCCTTGATGAAAAGGCATCTATAGCTAAATGTTCTTCTTACAATTTCCAATACTATTACATTTGTTATCTTTATCTGTCATTACTTAATTAAAGTATAGCTAAATGTAACCCATTGAAATGTTATTACTTGCAATACATTAAGATGGACATTAGATGGTGGTGGCCTGTCATTCAAGGTCACTCACATAGACAGAACAGCCCTTTGGAACTTGTATGCTGAATAGCAGGACTCAGCTGGTGAGCAGGGCAGTCAGGGACTACATTTACCAAGAAAAGTAGCGTGTCGGTGGTGGCATATAAATATTGAAACCTGGGAGATTGGCCAGGATAGTACGGAGAGAGTAGATGTTCTGATGGCTGAAGTGCTGATCTAAGCCGTGGAGCAAGGGTTCGAAAGAGAGGAACAGCAGAAAGAGCTTACTGACCACCCAGTCTGCCACGCTGCCCAGCAGACAAATCTGACAGCAGGATACATCTGCATTACAGTTTATCATACAAGCTGCCCACAGGACATACAGTTGCAGGCCATAATACAGTAGTGCCAACTAAAACAAGTTTTCCCTTTTTAAACTAAGCAGGATCCCTACTACTGTTAATTTTGCCTTGATATTCATAGGGAGTTGTCTTTGTCCATAGACACTTTTGCCAATTGTTGCAATTCATTATTTCAAACCTGCCGTATGTTTAGTGCTTTAAAGGGGACCCCGCACTAATTCACTACCAGCAAGAGGAAAAGTGTTAAATCTCCCCTTTTCCCTCACTATCTTTGTGTTACCATCCAGAGGAACTATAATCCACACCTCAACTCAACTTCATACCAACTAG